TTGGTGACATTGGCCACGGTGTATGCTCCAAATGCTCAACAGGACCTCCTCCTCAGTGGTGTGCTTGCTCATCTGCTGAAGTTCTCTGAGGGACACCTCACTCTGGGAGGTGATTTTAATGTCCCTCTTATACCCAACGTCGACACCTCCACAGGTTCCTCTTCTGTCCCACCCCCCGTTCGTAAATGTATCTCACTACCTCTCTATACAGCACAGCTCCATGATGTGTGGTAACTTCTTCATTCGGGGGAATTTGACTATACATACTATTCTCCTCCCCATAAACTATACTCAAGAATTTTTTTCTGATTCCCCATAGGGAGCGGCGTGGAGCCTCATTGCGGACATCACGCTTCCGCTACAGAGGAGCGGCGGCCATCTTGGTACATGTTTATTTTCCCTTGATTTGAATTACTCCACGTGGATGAAATTTTTATCTTTGATACATGATTTGAAATAAATACTACACTATTGTCAGGGCAGGAGCGGTGGAATGGACAGGCAGGCCTAATGGTAGGGTCACGCACCGACTGATGACAGCCACCACCTGCACACCGGAGTCCCTCAGGGCGCGGAGTCTAAGTCCCAGGCTGCCTTTCACCAGGGCCCCTGATGGTGGGGATGGACTTGACGCAGCCAGAGACCAGGTTGCGGCCCCCGAGTAACCCCAGCTGCGGCAATGTCCACCGCCAATGGCGTAAGCTGGTGGGAACCAGATGGGAAACGATAGCGTGGTAGGACAGGCCGGGTCAATAACAGCGGGACAGACGGTACAAGATGGTAGGCAAGAATACTCAGGTCACGGGCCGGGTTCAGCAACGGAAGGTCAGGTAATGGAATAAGGCAGAGAATAGTCTTGTCAAAGCCGAGTCGGTTTCCAGGAAAGCAACGAGAGTAGAAGAAGAGCTTGCTGCAACACAATCATACAGGACACAAATGCAAAGAGCAAATGCAGACAGCAGGCTTAAATGTGATCAACCACACCCCTCTGGAGGAGGAGCCACAGAGACCTGAAAGCATAAAGGCTCCCACCATGCTTTGCAGAAACCTAAGATGGATGCCAGCACATGGAGCAGCATAAGCTCTGAGGAAGGGTAGGACATTGACAACTATATAAGCACTTTTTGGCTCCTGTGGCTGAGCTGATTCCCCCCCAGAATCACAGGAGACCTGCCCCAATGGATGGATGGATGGAGCTACAGGATTAGATCCGAAGCTGTCAGTAGACCACTGCACCCCCAGATGTGTGATATAAACAAATGCGCATTATTATTTTCTGTCTGGTGAGTGTACATCCGTCCCAAGTGGTGGATTCCTCTCATGCATTTCTGCACGTCTTCACTTCATGACTAATTGCCCTTCCATAAAGGACATTATTAGTTTTTACTGCCCACTGAATAACTTTTACAGCTGTCACGGACGCATATTGATGCACATAGTTGCACTTTTGACGCACTTCTCTGCACTTTAATGATATATGCTATTTACGTTACATGCGTTTATAGCGCTGCACATTTGAAGTTGATTTTGGGCTTACCGTTGCCGATATCCAGAGTGCTAGCAGCTATTCTCTTTAGGTCGATTAATTCGACAATTCTAATTATTTATATGTGCCTCACTTCATAATTTATTTCAGCGCTCGCTTATACATTATTTAGATGTATGTGATGCAGTTCGCAGTACTTGATTATTTCAGAATAGATTGCTATATATATATCTGTCGCAGCGCTGCACTTATAGAAATTTGATACGTTTATTGGGACTGTTGCCTATGCCCTTTAGTGCCAGCAGCACATTACTACCTATATTACTACCTATATTGATTGTTTTATGCACTCGCTAGTACATTTATTTTATATTTGTTATTTTATATTAATACATTTTGTATCACGGTAATGCAGGAGGAGTGCACCCTTTTGTGTGTTTTTTGTAGAGATTTGAAGATTTCACCATATGAGGAGGGCTGCACCTGAGCGAGTGGCACACACCGCGGAACATGTAGAGCATCCTGATTTGAGCGCAGATGTGATTTTTGTTTCTATGGACACATGCTCCATCGCTGTACTCTCTCTGCACACATGTTCCATTCCCGTAATCTCTCTGCACACATGCTCCATCCCTGTACTCTTATCTGCACACATATTCTATCACTGTACCCCTTCTGCACATGTTCCATTGCTGTACTCTCTATGAACACATGTTCCATCCCTGTACCCCCTCTGCACACATATTCCATTACTGTACTCTCTCTGCACAGATGTTCCATCGCTGTACCACCTCTGCACACATGCTCCATCACTGTACTCTCTTTGCACACATGTTCCATCCCTGTACCCACTCTGTACAAAAGTTCCATCCCTGTACCCCCTCTGTACACATGTTCCATCTCTGTACTCTCTCTGTACACATGTTCCATCACTGTATTAGATAAGACCCTAACCAAGAAAAGCTAATGGGGCTTTTAGGGTACCAAACCATATAAATCAACATTGATTATACAAAAATACGTGAAGACAGTAGATAAAATTGAACACGTTTTATTAGGTTAAAAAAACACCAACAGGTGGAACATGACCATCAAACATATACATGGAGAATCATAAAATACAGTTATTGAAACCAGATACAGTAATTGCTACTGATGTCCTAGACACAAAAGGGTGTCACGGGCATCAGCTACAAATAACCAGCAGCTACAAACTCAGAAAATCAAGGCTAAACTGTGAATGATTTATGACACCTAGATGAATGGTGTCACATCATAAGTAGTAATAGACATAATGGTGCATGGCTTCAACCTAGAAACATAGAGTGGTACTTGGTTGATATTGCGACACCTAGAAAGGTGGTATCGCATTATAAGTGTCAATAGACATGTAAATACATAGCTTCAGCTTAGGACTATGAATAAGCACTTTTTTGATATTTCCAACACGTTTCACGGGACAATGTCTGCTTCTTCAGGGAAAACAAAACACAAATTCCTACAATAAAGCAAAAATAGGACCAAGAACATATAATCAATATATAACCATACAAAAAAAATTGACAAACTGCAAAAGATAAATAACAGGCTTGACAGCAATTACCAGTTGACGATACCAGCACACTCCCAGATGGCCCATGCAAAGTATATAGGACATGTCAATAGTATCTGTATGGAAAAAAGGGGTCTCCAGCAGCTAATAAGGAATAATCGTCGGTCAGGAGAAGATCTAAATCCACTTGTAAACAGCAGAACTGTGATTCTAGAGAATTACAAAATACATTGATCAAAGGTGAACCCCCCAAGGAATCCCAACTACACCCCTACTCCCCATATTGGTCATAAATCAAAACCCTTCAAAGAAGGGGGGGGGTGTATTACAAACGTTAAGTATTGATCAAATCCCCATATCAGATTCAGCTTCGATAAGCAAGCAACATAGTACAAAAATATATAAGCCCAGGTCCATCCAAATATATACCGCAGTACTGTTAGTACATTGCCCAATAGGTGTTCCAAAAACGGGGTACCATAAGAGGCTAGAGTTGTTTCCCATCAACTAAGGGGGAGAAATGAGCCTCACCCCTATTCCCCCTGTGTCAGAAATGGACTCACCAGTGGTGGGACTCATCTGCCGTGTGGGCTGCAGTACCAGGGCTGGCCAGCGGGTGCTCTCAGCAACCAGAAGCTCACTCCTGCAGTCAGCCATCACCTGAGGCTGATTGCAGGAGGTGTATTTAAGGAATGGCCAGACCTGCAGTCAGTGCCTTGGTGTATATTTCCCATGAGCCCCTGTACCTGCATCCTGTCTGCTTCCTGCTTGATTCTGACTCTGAATGAACTCCGCCTGTCCTGACCCCGGCTATTCCTAACCACTCTCCAGCCTGCTCCTTTGGTACCTTGTCTGCCTGATTGTTCCTGACCCAGCCCGTCTGACTACGCTCTGCCTGCTCCTTTGTGTCTTGTCTGCCCGATGGTTCCTGACCCGGCCTGCCTGACCACTCCACCTCACCAGCCCTGACTGCTCTTGTCTGTGTACATTCCGTTATCAGTTGGAGGTTTGGTTTTGTTATATTGTGCGTTTTATATTTGTGTATACCTTTAATAAATTATATTGTTACACCATACTTGAGTCTGCGTTTCCCTGTGTCAGTTCACACATCTCTGGTCTTACCGGGAGCCCTGACATTACACCAAGGCCATTCCTGACCAGAAGTGGCTGCACAGGGAAGCCATCTTGGCTTGTTGTTGTGAAGGATGCATCCGGAGGAGGTTATATACTTTTGCCTGCTAGTCTTAGATGACAGAGAATATGCCTATCAGACTCTGCAGGAGTATACCAGGGATCAGCTGCTAGAATGCATACGGGTCGCTCATTCCCTAGAAGGTCAGGGCACAGAGTTCTCTGAGGTGCAACCATTGATTCAGGCTTGTGTTGAGTTGGCTTCATCTAGTACCCCTGAAAGCAGGAATGACTTTCTTCCACCATTCAGTGTGGATCAAATAGAATCACTGGTATGGTTGTTGGAGGATGATCCGGATTGTTTCTGGGAACATTATTCAGTATGTTCACCATATGTGCTAGTGGAGTGTATAAACGCAGTGCAGTCTTTGGTCAGACAGGCTATGTGTAAACTCAGTTTTGTTCAACCAATACTACAGTCCTGGTAAGACTTGTTACACCCAGCCTCAGTCAGCTTGCAACAAACCCATCCTGCTTCTAATCATTCCTCTGCTCAAAGCTCTATTCCTGCATTCCCGACAACACCCCCAGTGACAGCCCAATATACCCTGTTATCTACCACATATCAGTACCCTGTTCCCACTCGCTGCACCTATCCTGCCTTTAACCCTGTAAAAAAGGCCGCTGTAACAACTATTCCCTCCTCTGTTCCACCCTCCAGCTCTTCTCTGTCCCCAGCTACTCCATCCATTTACAGACCTGCATTTACTTGCAGTGCCCCAGTAACTAAACCCAAGAAGAAGAAGCGAAAGTTCTTTCCAACCAGTACCATCCTACCAGTATCCAAACTGGTCAGCCTGCTGTCTGAGAACCCGCCTTCCGTTGTTCAGCCTGATGTCCCGATCCAGCCTGATGACCCAATCCAGCCTGATGACCCGGTGTTCGTGATCCAGCCTGATGACCCGATCCAACCTGATGACCCGATCCAGTCCTGATGACCTGATCCAGCCAGATGACTCGGTGCCCGCTGTCGTGCCAGATGACTCGGTGCCCGCTGTCGTGCCAGATGACTCGGTGCCCGCTGTCGAGCTTGGTGACTCAGTGCCCACTGTCCTGCCAGATAACTTGGTGCCCGCTGTCGAGCTTGGTGACCCGGTGCCCCCACTATCTTGCCAGATGACTCGGTGCCCGCTGTCGTGCCAGATGACTCGGTGCCCGCTGTCGTGCCAGATGACTCGGTGCCCGCTGTTGAGCTTGGTGACCCGGTGCCCGCTGTCATGCCAGATGACTCGGTGCCCGCTGTTGTGCCAGATAACTCGGTGCCCGCTGTCGTGCCAGATGACTCAGTGCCCGCTGTCGTGCCAGGTGACTCGTGCCCGCTGTTCTGCTAGAAGGCCCGTGCCTGCTGCCTTGCCTGACGGCCCGGTGCCTGCTGCCCAGCCTGATGTGCCTCTGTCCGCAGCCCAGCCTGATGTGCCTCTGTCCGCGGCCCAGCCTGATGTGCCTCTGTCCGTGGCCCAGCCTGATGTGCCTCTGTCCGCTGCCCTGCCTGATGTCCTCTGTCCGCTGCCCAGCCTGACGTGCCTCTGTCCGCTGCCCAGCCTGACGTGCCTCTGTTCGCGGCCCAGCCTGACGTGCCTCTGTCTGCTGCCCAGCCTGATGTGCCTCTGTCCGCTGCCCAGCCTGATGTGCCTCTGTCCGCAGCCCAGCCTGATGTGCCTCTGTCCGCGGCCCAGCCTGATGTGCCTCTGTCCGCGGCCCAGCCTGATGTGCCTCTGTCCGCGGCCCAGCCTGATGTGCCTCTGTCTGCGGCCCAGCCTGATGTGCCTCTGTCCGCTGCCCTGCCTGATGTCCTCTGTCCGCTGCCCAGCCTGATGTGCCTCTGTCCGCTGCCAGGCCTGATGTGCCTCTGTCCGCTGCCCAGCCTGATGTGCCTCTGTCCGCTGCCCAGCCTGATGTGCCTCTGTCCGCTGCCCAGCCCGATGTGCCTCTGTCCACTGCCCAGCCTGATGTGCCTCCGCTCGCTGCCCAGCCTGATGTGCCAGCCCCTGATGTCCAGCTAAACTGGCCAATAACTGATTCCCAGCCTGCTCCAGGAGATCCTGTGTCCAGTAACCTGCCTGCCTGGGTTCTCCTACACAAGGAGAAGTCTACCAGCAGGAAACGCAGCCAGCCGGTTTAACTCCGGCAGTAGGATATCCAGCCAGTTACCTGACCCGGGCGCTGGAACATTTTGCCCACTAAGGACTATTTGGAGCGTCCTGAGGCTGCTCCTTGAGGGGGGGGGTACTGTCAGGAATGGACTCACCATTAGTGGTGGGACTCATCTGCCGTGTGGGCTGCAGTACCAGGGCTGGCCAGCGGGTGCTCTCAGCAACCAGAAGCTCACTCCTGCAGTCAGCCATCATCTGAGGCTGATTGCAGAAGGTGTATTTAAGGAATGGCCAGACCTGCAGTCAGTGCCTTGGTGTATGTTTCCCATGAGCCCCTGTACCTGCATCCTGTCTGCTTCCTGCCTGATTCTGCTTTGATCCTGACTCTGAATGAACTCCGCCTGTCCTGACCCCGGCTATTCCTGACCACTCTCCAGCCTGCTCCTTTGGTACCTTGTCTGCCTGATTGTTCCTGACCCGGCCCCGTCTGACTACGCTCTGCCTGCTCCTTTGTGTCTTGTCTGCCCGATGGTTCCTGACCCGGCCTGCCTGACCACTCCACCTCACCAGACCTGACTGCTCTTGTCTGTGTACATTCAGTTATCAGCTGGAGGTTTGGTTTTGTTATATTGTGCGTTTTATATTTGTGTATACCTTTAATAAATTATATTGTTACACCATACTTGAGCCTGCATTTCCCTGTGTCAGTTCACACATCTCTGGTCTTACCGGGAGCCCTGACACCCCTGTGTACTCCTGAATTGAATAAAGCCTGCCATGCTTTAAATAGCGGTCAATTGGTGGCATTGGGGCTGTAATGCGCATGTGCAATGATGTTAGTGATGCATAGTGATGACGTCATGACGTCCGGCATCATCGCGTCACGCAACGTGACGTAAAACGTCCAAAAAAAGTCGTAAAAACGTAAAAAAGGTGTAAAACATCCAAAAAAGTCTTAAAGAAGCCCAAGATATAAGACAAAAAGCAACCAATCAACAAGGAATCAACTGGGGGGGGAACATCAATTGTAAAATATGGTCAAAACGGACCCTATTATAGGCCAACGACTTGTTCAAAACACACAGAGCAACAATAGAGTAATGGCAAGAGTAGAGTATATACCAAAAAGTCTAGAGTGCATCAGGGAGGTTGGTATCATCAACTGTTTTTGCAAAATGCTGTTTTAATGTAATAACTACAACAAAAAAGGCACAGTAAATCCAAATAATCATAAATCAAAGAGTATTTTTCTTTTTTGCATATAACTAAAAATATACTGAATTATTGATGAGAAAGAGGGAAAAAAAAGGGGGGGGGGGGGAGAAAAAATCCGAATAGATAATTACATAAAAAAAGAAAGAAATAAGGGGCTGTATGATGGCAAGGCCAGATAAGTTCAAGACAGAATAGGTTTGACGCTTCAGGAATCATTTAAACCTGGAGGCTTTGTAGCCACCAGGTTAAGTATCCATTGTGCTTCTTTTTGAAGAATATGGCCGTCCCAATCACTGCCTCTCAGATCCAAATGGACTCTTTCCAGGGCAAAAAACTTAACACATTGTGCATTTTTAGCATGATACCAAGTACCATGTCTCCCTATAGGGGAAGAAATGTCTCCCGACTGAATAGTGGAGACATGGTCATAGATCCTTTTCCAGAACCGACGTTTGGTTTTGCCTATGTAGAAGCTTCCACGTTAAAACATCATCATATCATCCAATTGGACAGTGGGGGCGGAGCCTGATTATGGCGGCGGAGGAGAGCTCGAGGTAGGAGCTCTCGGAGTAGTCTCCTCTGTCCGATCCCCCCCCAGACCACCAAGCCCCTGCTGATATGTGGAGAATCAGCGGGGTTAGACCTACCTCTGCCTAGTGGGCACCCTGGGATACGCGGTGGTTCATGAGGAGGGAGACCCTGGAGCGGAGATCAGCTGGTGTGCAGCCCTGCAGTGACAGTGTGTCTGGATGCTGGGAGGTGAGGGGCGCGGCTCGAGTGCGTGGCTGGCCGCTTTGCATCTCTAGGAGGCGAGGAAGCCGGCCGGCGTCTGCTAGGAGGAGGGAGAGACGCTGAAATGTGAGTCGGCTAGCTGTCCCAGAGTTTTGGAGTGCTGCAGAGAGGAGAGGGACAGTGTGGCTTGAAGAGAGAGCGGAGGAAACCATAGCCCTCTGCTCTACCAACCCCTTCACCACAAAATCCCAGTGTTAATACAGCTTCCACAGCCCCCCCACCACAACTTCCAGTGGGTTCACAGCCCCCTGCACCACAACTCCCAGCGTGCCACAGCTCCCTGCATCATATCTCCCAGTGCTCCATAGCCTCCCCGCACCATAACTTCCAGAGTTCTACAGCTTCCTCTACCACTACTACTCCCAGCGTTATCCAGGGGAGTCCCCTTAAAAGGAAAAGAAGAAAAGCTGACCTGCTGGATGGACTGAAGGAGAAAGCCTAGAGCCGTCTCACAAGAAGAGAAGTGTGCAAAGTGGTGAGTGAGTCTGGCTGTGGCTTCATATATAAATTCTGTATTGAGTTTGTGGGGAAGCAGAGTGCAAGAGATAAGGGGGGACTCTCAGAGAATATAAATAAGAAGAAGAACGGTGAAGGAATAAGCTAAAAGAAAAGTGAACAGATAGGACTAGGACTGGCATATCAAAGGTTGTTTCTTCCTATCTATGATTCTTTAGAGGAAAAAATATAAGTCACAGAAGAAATGAAAAATAAAAGTGTAAAAGGGAGTGGGCTTAAAGGGACCCAAACTGGCACTATCAAAAAATATACGTCCCAGGGAAATGTAACTCCAGAAAGGCTTCAGAGTAGAAATGAAAAAAGAGAAATAGACATTAGCCCGCAAAATAGCCCCAGACAGTTATTGGATCCGGATATTAGTAACCAACAAATATCAGAAAATATAGAGCTCGAAAAAGATCTACAAATACCAAACAAAAAAGAGATGGCAGAAATGTTTAAGGAATTGGCGAGAACAATAAAACAAGAAATGGTAAATATTCGGAATGATTTGGGGCAGCTGCTAGCAAGAGTGGAGGAGACGGAGCAGAAAGTTAAAAATCAGACCCAAATTATTTCCGAATTAGAAAAGAAGATAATCAATATGGGGAAAATTCAGGAAAAATTGTTGTATAAGGCGGAGATACAAGAGAACAGAGAAAGGAGAAGAAATATCAGAATACGAGGGGTTCCAGAAAGCCCAAAAGGAGAAATATTGTATGAGATGGTTTGCAAAATATTAAACTCTATAATGGAAAATTCTGATATGGAAAGGACTAAAATAGAAGGAATTTCTAGACAAGGGAAACTCCATGGGAATCTTGGGAAGGAAAGGCCGAGAGATATTCTGGTTAAATTCTATGAGCTTCAAGATAAAGAAAAAATCTGGAGGAAAATTAAGGGAAAACCAGTAATTAAATATGGAGAAATGGATATTCAGATATATGCGGATCTTTCACCGGAGACTATGTGGAGGAGAAGAGCTCTGAGACCTTTGTTAGAACAGATGAAAAAACAGAATGTGCATTATAGATGGGGGATACCGGGGATACCGGAGGGCCTAATAGGATGGAAGAACGGAGTTACAGCTTATTTAAGGTTCCCAGAGGATTTGAGAACTTTTTGTGATAGACTCGAATTGCAAAGAACAGAAATTATAGGTTGGGAAGAAGAACCTGGGGAAATCAGATTAAAAGGAAAAGAGGATTGGCAGTTTGTAAGGGGGAGGGGATAGGGGGGGAGAGGGAGAGAAGGAGAGACAGCTTGTGTGTGTTTTTTTTCTCTCTCTCTCTCTCTCTTGTCTTCCCTTACCCTTCCGGCCTATCTCCCTTTTTGAGATGTCTCTGTAAGAAGGGGGGGGTCAGCGGGGGATCTGGATAGAGGGGAAGTCGTCCATAGGAGGAGTGTAGCCCCAAGGATTAAATCAAAGGTGGACTGTATCTCCACAAATGATTGCTAGGCAAATGAGGGCCTAAAAAGAGGGGGGAGCATGGGGAGGGAGGGGAGGGGGGGTAGGTGGAGGGGGGGTACGACATATGGAAGATCTACGATTTATAACATATAACGTTAAGGGATTGAACTGTCCTGGGAAGAGATTTAAACTGTTCAAGGAGCTACAGCATAGAGAGGCTTCGGTGGTGTTTTTGCAGGAGACACACTTCGAGATAAAGTCAAACATAAAGCTGTATTCTAGAAATTATCCAACATGGTTTTATGCGGATTCCCCAATCAAGAGAGCTAATAGCAATAGGGCTTGCAAAAAATGTGAGGCTGGAGATAGAAGAGAGAGAGGTAGATCCTGAGGGGAGATTTTTTGTTTTTGAAG